CCCTACCTGTCTCTCCCTTCTCCAAAGAGCTGCTCCATGGTTCTCCTCTCTTTCCACCAGGAAGGCCACGGGGCAGACAGGCAGCAACTTGGTCTCCAGTTCAGGAGGCCCCGGGACTCCCACGGATGCTGGTTCCCCCGGGGTCCCCCCGGGATAAGGCCTGGAAGCGGTCTCTTCCTCCTCTCCTTCCTCTTCCTCCTCTTCCTCCTCCCGGAGACTGCCAGAGCTGCCGCTGGCCAGACTGGCCAGCTGGGGGTGTCGGGGGACCCCCTCGTAGTCTTCTTCCTCGGCTTCGTAGCTGCCGAGGTGCTCCTGCTCCCCCTCCCACAGCCCCTCGGGGGCGAACCCCGGTGTTCGAGTGGGAAAAGTGCCCCGACAGCCCCACTCATCCTCGGGGTCAGAGGCCTCCGGGAGGAACTGGCGAGGGCCTCCGTTCTCCAAGGGGGGCCAAGTCCGCTGAGGGTCCCCCCGCCAGGGCTGCAAGGGCGTCGGAGGGTAACTCGGCGGGAGGCTTGGGTCCGGGGTGACGTCGGACGGGGTGATGCCGTTCTCGTAGACCTGCGGGCTGTCGTACTCCTGGAAGTCGGTGTCGGTACCTTCTGAATCCAACCGATCGCGTGGCTCTAGGAAAGGGAGTGGAGTCTAAGGGTTAGAGCAGAGCTTGTTAAAAGGGCCCGGGTTCAAGACAGTGAATACATGGGCAGGGCTGATCCCAAGATCAAGTGGAGCAAAGAAGAGAATTATTTTTTGGATTCTGCCCCCCCCCATTCAAGAAGGACAAAGCAAAGAGCAGGCTTATGAAAATAAGACAGCACCTTGCCAATTAGAGTTACTATGCATTATTCTTATTAATTGAACTGAACTTAATTAATGATTTAAATTAATTCACACTGTCATTGTACACACAGCATTTTACCCCACTCATTTCATAGCAATTGACCCAGCAGCAAGAAGCTTATGAATCAGCTGAAGGATAGAGGCCAAGACTGCTGGCGTTTAATGGAATGGAATGAAAGAGAGAGGGGGGAGAGGGAGACAGACAGAGAAATCTGTCTCTCTGTCTGTCTGTAGAAAGAATGTAAAATGAATGCAGTTTCAATCCAGGAACCTCTTCCTATGGGTAATGCAAGGAAGAACCTGTTGAAATGGAAAATTTATTAAAACAGCCTTTCCTGACTATGTAGTGTTGCCCTTCGGATATTTTGGATTACAACACCTGTGGCTTATTTGTGTGTGTGTGTGTGTGTGTGTGTCTGTGTGTGTGTGTGTCTGTGTGTGTTTATGGGTGTTCTAGTCGAAAATTGAAAGGGGCAAAAAAAGAAATTTGGAGTGGGCGAAAAAGGGGGTTGGGAGAGATTATGTCAAAGAAACAAGCTGGATGGTGCCCCACTTGGCCATTGCTCATTCTACCGATATTCTCCATGAAAGGGTGTTTCCTTTTTATCAGAGCATGGCAAGCTTCTCTGCAGCCTTGCCTCCTCTTTTTTCAGTCTCGCTCTGTGAGGCTCACAAGGCTGGCAGGAAAGCACCCAATCCCACTTTCTGTGCATCTCAGGCTCCCATTTCGATATCCTCAATTGCTTCTGAGGATCTAGCTAGCCTCCATCGGACTGAAAGCTGCTGACGGCCCCATCTTTCTTGAGCCGTTCGCTCAGGTCCTTTCTAAAGCCCTCTCAGCCAGCCATGGACGACACTTTTCTCTCTCTTTCCCACAGCGGCAATTTGGTGAAGTGAATGAGAAGGAATTGTATGTAAACAATGAAAAAAGGTACATTGCCTAGAAAGACGTTGGGATGAGACAGTGCTCGGGAAGGCTGCTTCTTTGGAATACAACTCCCATCGTCCACCACACAGTATGGCTGGTGGCCATCCCAGGGAGGGCATTGTGGGAGTTGTACTCCAATAAAAGTAAAGGTTCCCAATTCTTTAACAAGATAC